CTGCCCTAGAATTAATATGTTAATTTAACAAGGTTAATTGTTAATTTAACAAAGTCCACTAGTTGTATCTCTATATGCTACCAACAAACACAGAAAATAAAATTTTTTAAGTGATGAAATTTACAGTGGCATCAAAAATGTCAGATACCTAGGAATATAGCTAAAGAAAGATATCTAATAATTCTGCACGGAAAACTATAAACTATTATTGAGAGAAATTAAAGAAGACCTAAATGTACCATGTTCATGGATCAGAAGACTCAATGATATAAAAAGACGTCACTTCTCAAATTGACCTATATATAATATTTCATGTAATTCCAGTTAGAATCTCAGCAGATTGTCTGTATGAAAATTAATTCACTGATTCAAACATTTGTATATAAAAGCAAAAGACAAGGATACCTAGGACAATCTTGAAGAAGACAAAGCTGAAAGGCTTATAATGCTATATATCAAGTCTTATTATAAATCTGGAATAAGACAGTCTAGTATTGGTACAAGGATAGACAAGTAGACCCATGAGACAGGATAAAGTTCAGAAGCAAATTCGTACATATATGGTCAAGTGATTTCCCCAAAAGGCAATGAATAAATAAGATGAAGTCTCATCTTTTTCATATGAGAGCAAATAAATACTGAGGCCTCCCTCATAGCATTCTCATACAGTTAATTCACGGTTGTAGATTTACATGTGAATAGTTAAGCTGCTAGGAAATAGAGGCTTAAAGCCAACAGTAGAAACATAAAATGTTTCTTCCTCCGGTCTCCCACCAAGATATCTGTAACTTCAGCTTTCTGTGGCTATCTGAATCTACAACATGCGGTGGGTCAGTCAATACTTCTGTCAATGATGTCTGAATTTATTTTTTCCAGGGAAATTTGGCACTGGGATTCAATCCTATTTCTCCTTCTTGCGGTTCTTGGTGTTACTGAATTTGGTGATATTTCTGATCATCTTTATGCTGGTTTTGCTCCCGATCTTACTTACCAAATACAAGATCACCAACAGCAGCTTTGTGCTGATTCCATTCAAAGACACAGGTGAGTCCTAGGCTCTTTTTGCTGTGCACCTCGCTACAATACTTCTTTTGCTAAGAATCTTTATTGTAAGTCTGGGGTAACTGTATTAGTCTGGATAGCCTGCCTAAGTTATGCTGCAGAAACAAATGACCCCATAACGCATAGTGTCTACTAACCACAGGGGTTTATTTCTTACTTACAGCCTACGTGTCCATCATGGGTTAGTGGTTTTCACTCTGGATTCCAAGCTGATGGAGCAGCCTCTGTCTGGATCACTGACCGTCAGTGATCAGTCAGTCACAGAGGCCAAGGACAAACCTATGCTAGCTCCTGTAGCTTCTGCCTAGAGATGACACATAGCATTTCTGCCACATCTCATTGGCCAATGCAAGTTACTTGGCCACTGCAGAGTGCATCAGGGCATTTGGGAGGAGTAATGCAGGGTAATGAATGTAGACTATTTATTTCAAGATTTTTATCTCTAATAAGGGTAATGCCCAGGAGTCCCATTTATTCAATACAGGTTGTGTGCCAGACATTATAACAAGTGCTGAACTTGTGTTTCCTTTCTTTCTTTCTTTTTTTTTTTTTTGAGACAGAGTCTCAGTATGTCGCCCTTAGTAGAGTGCTGTGGTGTCACAGTTCACAGCAACCTCAAACTCTGGGGCTTAAGGGATTCTCTTGCCTCAGCATCCCAAGTAGCTGGGACTACAGGCGCCCGCCACAACGCTGGCTATTTTTCGGTTGCAGCCGTCATTGTTGTTTGGCGGGCTTGGGCTGGATTCATGGCTGGCACCTTAGCCGCTTGAGCCACAGGCGCAGAGCCCAGATTGGGAATCTTAACCTGTATTTCTATTGTCTAGGAGGTCTGGATGCCATTCTGTCTCTAACCTAATCTGGAACCTGAGTAGCTTAACCACTAGGCTGTATTGCTTATTCACTGCCCCCTATTGTCTCAGCAGGGCCTTGGTGAGAGTGAGGGAGGCCACTCTCCTGCAGAAAATGTGGATGTGGACACTAAGCACAGTCTCCTCATATCTTTTCTTATTTCTCATCATTCTTTCCTCTGACTATATCCTTTTCTCACCTACACTTTTTAACTTATGTAGGAAATCTTTTCCTTATAAATAGGATCATAAGTCCCTCCCTTCCTCTTCTCACTTTCTTCCCTTCTTCATTCCTATTTGTTTATTTATTTATTTATTTAGAGACAGAGTCTCACTCTGTTGCCTTTGGTAGAGTGCTGTATTGTCATAGCTCACAGCAACCACAGACTCTTGGGCTCAAATGATTATCTTGCCTCAGGCTCCCAAGTAGATGTGACTACAGACACCCACCACAATGCCTGGATAGATTTTCTATTTTTAGTAGAGGTGGGGTCTTGCTCTTGCTCAGGCTGGTCTGGAGCTCCTGAGTATTTATTTATTTATTGAGATGGAGTCTTACTCTGTCACCCAGGCTAGAATGCCGTGGCATCAACTTAGCTCACAGCAACCTCAAATTCCAGGGGTTCAAGTGATCCTCCTGCCTCAGCCTCCTGAGTTGCTGACTATAAGCACCAAGACATCTGGCTAATTTTTGTACTTTTTTTTTTCTTTTTTTGAGACGGAGCCTCAAGCTGTCCCCCTGGGTAGAGTGCTGAGTGCTGCGGCATCACAGCTCATAGCAACCTCCAACTCCTGGGCTTAAGTGAGTCTCCTGCCTCTGCCTCCCAAGTAGCTGGGACCGCAGGTGCCCACCACAATGCCTGGCTATTTTTTGATTACAGCCATCATTGTTGTTTGGCAGCCCGGGCTGGATTTGAATCTGCCAGCTTAGGTGTATGTGGCTGGCGCCTTAGCCACTTGAGCCACAGGCGCCGAGCCATAATTTTCCTACTTTTGGTAGAGATGGGGTGCTGCTTTTATTCAGGCTGGTCTCAAACTCACTGAGCTCAAGCAATCTGCTCACCTCAGCCTCCCAGAATGCTAGGATTACAGGTCTGAACCACCTCACTGGACCCAACAAGTATTTACTGAGCACCTATTTTGGGCCTCACACTGGGGCTACAGCAGAGAGCAGCTCATCCGCATCCACAATCCTTACGTGTGACAACAATGTGCACTACCAGAAGACGGGCACAAAAGGAAGTAAACACACTACGAAGTGTTTGATGTAGAATCTGTCCATAAGCAAAAGAAAAGGACTGGGTTCTGTGAAGCTGAACACCAGGACACAGGCTGAAGGTCCTCAAATCCCCTTTGGAAAGCAGGGCCATTTAAACCGAGCCAGGAGGGTGAGGCGGATAGCCTTTAAGCAGGGGAGTGCCATCTGCAGAGATCCAGGGCTGGGAAATAATTCCGCATGACAGAGAAGCTGAAAGCCTAGTGTGGCTGGTCAGCAAACCTTCCTATAAAGGGCTAGATAATAGCTATTTTAGGCTTTGCAGGCCACATAGTTCCCTCTGGCAACTATTCAACCCTGCTGTAGTGGTGCTGAGATAGCCTAGACAGTATATTTAATATAATGAAGGGGCATGGCTGTGTGCCAATCAAACTGTTAATGGAAACAGGAAACTGACGAGATTTAGCCTGTTGGTCATAGTTTGCCGACTTCTAGGTTAGAGGACAATGAATAAGCAGCGGGACAGTTCCTGACTCTCTAAAAAAGGATGACTGTACCTCTCCTCTCAGTCTAAAATACTGTGTTCATGCAGACATTCCAGCACTTATGTAATAAATCTAACTGCCACTTGAGGGGGAGCATTTCAAGGGCAGGGACTCTTTTTTTTTTTTTTTGAGACAGAGTCTCACTATGTCATCCCTCGGTAGAGTGTCGCGGTGTCACAGCTCACAGCAAGCTCCAATTCTTGGGCTTAAACGATTCTCTTGCCTCAGCTTCCCAAGTAGCTGGGACTATAGGCATCTGCCACAACACCTGGCTACTTTTTTTTTGCAGTTTGGCCAGGGCCGGGTTTGAACCCACCACCCTCAGTATATGGGGCCAGCACTCTACTCATTGAGCCACAGGCACTGCCCATGATTTTAAGATAAGTATAGAGAAAATTTAAGCTCTGG